GCTGGAGGAAGTGTCTGGAGAGAGGGAGGTCTGGGCATCTTTGCTTAGACTGCTGCCCCCGCGACCCGGTCCCAGATAAGCGGAGGAAAATGGATGGATGGATGTACTAGAAGTACCAACAGTACCAGTACTCGTCCTGCAGAATGGCCCATGTCCCAGTAATGTCTCAGATACTGGATCATAGTGACTGATACGTTACTGTCTTCATCACTTTAATGCTGCAGCTGCTGAAGGTGGAGCTGATGGTAACTACCTTATATACTTGTATTGTGAAGTACTTTCCATCCTGCTGGGTAGCTGGTGGATTTCCCACTGGGATCAATAGAGTCTGGTGGTTCTACTGGGTTTGGTTTGATTCATCTGATTCTGGAAAGGACCTGAAGTTATCAAGTACATGTAGTGCAGTACAAGTCGAGTACTTGTGGTGGTACCTTGCTGCCCCCGTCTGCAGGAGCTTCTGGTCCTGCAGCTGCTGCTGCTGATGAAGATGTGCTGTTCTCCGGTTCTCCAGCAGGAGGCTTCTCCGCTCCAGACAGCTGCGCACACACGCACACACACACACAGACACACACACACACACACACACACACACACACACACACACACACAGAGGACAAGGAGGAAGATGGTATTGCAATGTAAACAAATGATGCCTGGAATTAGATTTTTGTAAAGAGATTAAGAAAACAGTTTTTCTTGGAACGACAGACACTAACCAGCGTGCTCGAAATAAGTACAAGGGGTTGGCTCCATAGACTGGAGCTTCAGCCTGTCGTAGGACGTAGTTATGTGATTTGTTTGTTTTGTTTCCTTGTCTTTTTGCCATGTTCGTATAACTATACAGGCCGAAATAAATACATACATTCGTTGAGAAATGTCGTCAAGTGCAGCAGCTGGGGTGGGAGGAGACACCGATCTGTTTGTGCGTTGCTGGCTGGTTTCAGGCCAAACAGCCACGATGCCGAGGGCTGGTTGATACCTTTCATCTCACCTGTTTCACCTTTTATAACCTGACTTTCTCTTAAAACGTCTCTTGCAGCTCTGGTAGGAGCCAGTGCTGCTGATTTTACGCAGGAGGTTCTAGACAATCATCAAAACATTGTCCTTATTCTTATGGGTTTGTGCGCTGGCAAGAGCGCACAGTGCAGCTCAGGCTCTGGGATTGTGGGCCATGAGGTCAAGGCCTGATTTTGCCCAGCTGCTCTCACTTGTGCATTAATATTAGTTTTTGTGCTGTTAATCATACGTTAGTCTTTGGACAGCTAGATTTTTACTCTAAAGAACTTGCAATGATACGGTAAATGAGTGGTCTCATTAGGGAAGGTTACCTCTTTTTATAAGCTGTTTTGTAGAAGAAACATGTTTAAAGATTATTAAGTAAATTATAAAATAGAAAGCTTCGCTTTTATTTTATTTCATAGTTTTGTCAGATATTTTTAAGCCTGTCGGGTCTTTTCAGGACACCTCCCGGTGGAGGTTTTCTGGGCACGTCTGTCTGGTAGGAGACCCTGGGGCAGACGCAGAACACGCCATCTGGGCTGGGAATGCCCCGGAATCCCGCCAGAGGAGCCGGGGAGAGGGACGTCTGGACTACTTTACCGAACCTGCTGCCACTGTGACCTGACCCCACATAAGGAGGATAATGGATGGATTAATTTTATGTCTGTTTGATTTTGTTCTTAATCTCACCAGCAAAATAATTTCCTGTCCTAATTTCCTTATTATTTTTGCACTTTTTAAAAAAACATTGCAGGTAAATTAATTAAACTGAAAGAACACATCTCGCCAGACAGATGTGGGGTCTTTGGAAACTGGGAGTTTCAAACCCAACAGCCTAACCTCACACACACTCAGTCTCATTTGGATTCGCAGAGTGAAATCCTCACAGTCGATCCAAAGCTTTCAACCCCCCATCCACATCCCGTCTCCATGGCAACCCCTTGGGGTGTGATGTGTGTCTGTCTGCAGACAAAGAGGTGAGTGTGTGTGTGTGTTTTCCTGCCGCTAACAAAGGAAACCTGAATAATTTCTGCTTCTTCCTGGTGCACCGTGGTAGAAGGCCGAGCCTGGCTCTGATCCAAACTTCCTCCATCAAACACAAGCAGCTGCAACGAGACCACAAAATGGACAACAGCGAGCGGAGACGCACACGAGGACAAAGTCAGCTCTAAACTCAGTGCATCTAAAAATATCCCTTCTACTTGAGTTCATTGTGTTTTCAAGGCAGACCATTCATATACAGCAACAAATGCAGGATCACTTGAGGAAATGCCATAGAAATAATTTGTGGTTATTCTGATAACTGATTAACCATTAGGTCAGAACCGACCTTCACTTACAGGCATCACAACAGACTCCACTGTAGTTACATCTTATGACTGGTACAAACAGCGTGGACAAAAGAACAGAAACAGTGGTTGTGCCGATGCTTAAACAAAATCAGCAGCCAAAGCTTAGAGAACAACTACATCAGCAGGTTCACTGGTGCTGCTTCCTATCAGAGGAACAGTCCAGTCTGGATCAGCCCGATGTCTCCAGACCAGGACACATCAAATCTAAACCTCAGAGGGAACTGGGGGAATGTGTGCTGCATAACTTTAAACGGGCGGGGGATTCTTCCCCTCTGCCGGCAAAGCATTCATGTCACTGCTGGCTGGTTGTTATTCTCTGAGGGGAGCAGAGAAAGGACGATCAGACTCGCTCTCTTTACCTCAGAAACTCCTGCTCGGTGCCAACCTGCAGCCTGGCAACAGCCAATCACAACGCCGCTCAGAGACGGGAAAAAAAACAACTTCTGGTTTCTCTGCACAGCAACGAGCTGGGACAGAGAGAGGACAGACGAGGAGGAGGGATGAGTATAAATTACAACCAGAGAGCTCCTGGCTGTATGGAGCCCTGAAGAACAGGAGGTGTTACAGTCCTGTTCCAAATGACACTTTACTGAACAGTCTGGGTTCGATTTGTGCCTGCAGATGCTGGCAGGTCACATTTACTCCAATTTAGTTTTTTTAAACCTGTAACTGTTCCTGTCCACTCTCACATTTTATTATTTACAACAGTTTTGTCTCTTTAAATTTTAAGCCTTGCTGTTTTTTCATTACTGATGTTTGCTTTTACACATGTTACACGTGTTTATTGTGCATGTGTCTGATTTGTATTATAATAGTGATGTTGATTTTAATTGCTGAGCCAAATTCCTCTGTTTCAGGCGTTTGGTTAACACCACGGAACACTGACAGCTCTCACACAGCTGGAGCACCTGATCTGGACTGGCATGGCCGTGCCTTCGTGTTTACAGCGCTCCGTTTGTCTTCACAGGCATCATACACTAACACGCCATCAGCTAATGCAGCACTCGTGGTGATTTAATGGTGCAGATGCATCCCGAGTTCCTGTTACTCACATTTATAATGATCAAGTCACTTTGGCTTTCTGGGATCACTTCATAGATTTTAAAGTGTTAATTCACATTTATGTTACTTACTTTCTTTACTGATGTGCCACACTGCACGAACACAGCAGTTCATTTCACTCCCATGCATCTGTTTCACAGAACACGACCTGCTCTCATGGAAATGTGAAGCCTGTTGTTACCAGCCTGGTCATCACAAACATATACATGCTGCTGCAGGACCCAGGTGTGTTTGTCACATTTACTAGGTAGAACAAATGGACTATAGCCATATAGCAAGGCCTGCGGTGCCCCCGGCCTTCCTCCTTCTGATGCTTGAATATCACCTGCTAAATGATTCTGGCTTTAGAGCAGCAGCACTTTAAAACCATCCACCACCCAGCTGGTAAATGTGACATAAACACAGTCGGGTCCTGCAGCAGCATGTACATGTTTGTATGTGATGACCAGACCGGTTACTACCAACTCCACATTTCCACGAGAGCAGGTCGTGTTCTGCTGACAGACACTGATAAGATGCAGGGGTGTGACCTGAATACTCCTGTAACTGTGGTGTTTCCTTAAGTGATGATCTGTGAATTAATCCCAGAAAGTCATAGTGACTTGATTGTGTGTCACTGTGACAGGAATTCATAACATATCTGCAGTAAGTGACACATTAAATCATCATGTACCACACATTAAAGGCCAAACATTTCCCTGTGTAAATCCACTTGTACTGACCAGTGTCTAGGAAACAGAGGCCTATAGCAGACACTGTCCCAGGACAGCTCCAACTGCACATAGACAGAAACAACGTAAGGACAGAGAACAACATCTGTATGTATACACAGACACATGACAGTGACATGGCCTAAACAAACAGGATTCTGGAGCTGACACAGGCAGAGGTTCTCCTGCCACCAAAACTCTGGGTTTACTTTGGACCCT